ACGGCGCCATTTTGTTTGTAATATTTTTGTGAGTGGATAAATTAGTAACCAAGCTATCCGAACTCGGGTCGTTCTCAAAAGAAGACTGTTCGGAGCGTCGTTTACTATCTAGTCGTCAATTTCACAAGACCAAAAAAAAGTAAAAATAAAAAAAAAATCCTAAACATTCTAATCAAAGGATTGTTGGGATTAATTATAAATACGCTAATAAAATAGACAAAGCAAATTGAAATATTATCACTACAAACCTCTAGCCTCCGAACTGGATCACTAAAGATTACTAAAATGAGACCGAACAACCTTAACTTCCGAAAACGGATCGCTAAGGATAAATGAACATTGCGTCTTAATAACTAGGTCCGCAATAACGAGAACATGACGTTAAACATGTTACCTTCGGAATAGCCGAGCTAAAACATGAGTCACGACTTTCCTAATAACGAATTCAACGACACACATTAATAAACACAAAAACATAAACCGAATATCATTAGCCAAAACACTCTAAATTACTTCTAAAACGAGATCGCAATCTAGATACAAAATACGGAATATTAAGTCTTTGAACAAAGTCCTTAATTTCCTAATGCACGATTAAGCTAATGAAAATCGGAAACTTACAATCGAATGAATTGCCGGAAATGCCTTCGGGAAACCGATCAACAAACGAGTAATATAGCTTACAAACCAAATTGCCGAAGATATCGTCGAAAGATTGATCAACACTCGAACAACAAATATTACAAACCAAAATACAACGGAAAGAATAAAATCTTCTCCCCAGCAAGGGAGAAAGAAAGAAAAAGAACGAAGAAGGAAGGGTAACAATCTTGCTTTCCAATCCAGTAGAGCCATGAATTTATACAGCGGACCAAATCTTTCAAGTGACGGCTCGAATTAACTGCTGACGGCGACAAATCTTTCAAGTGGAGCACAAAAGCCGGCACGGCGCGAATTAAGTGCTGACGGCTCTAATTAACTGCTGACGGCAGAATTAACTGCGACGGCTCGAGGCAGAAACTCTTGACTGCGAGAATTAGCTGCGAATTAACTACTGACGGCTCGAGCAGAAACTCTTGACGGAGAGGTGTCACGGCGCGAGGCAGCGGCCACAGCGCGAAGCACGACGCCTCCACGACGCGAGCTCTCTTTCACGGCGCGGAGGACCACTCCTTCACGGCGCGAGCTCTCTTCACCGCGCGGAGGACCACTCCTTCACGGCGCGAGCTCTCCTTCACGGCGCGGAGGACTACTCCTTCACGGTGCGAGCTCTCCTTCACGGCGCGGAGCTCTTCACGGCGTGATTATAGCTTCCCGGCGTGAAGGAATGGTGTGGAAAGGACTTGGGCACGCCGTGGAGGATCCTCGCGCCGTGGAGAAGGTGTTTGTCGCGCCACGGAGGGTCTTCACGACGTGGAGGATGTGCTCGTCGCGCCGCGGAGGGTCTTCACGCCGCGGAGCTGTTAGCAGGTACTCTGAAGGTCACTCACGAGTTCGTCGCGCCGCGACGAGGGCGCGACAGCATGCAAGGCTTCACGTTTTGAGCTCGTTTGGGCTCGTTCAAACTCGGAATTGACTTCTGTTTTTTTCTACGCGTAGCTAACGAACTCCTCTATTCAATGATGCTTGCAAACCACACTTTTGCCCAGAATACAAATTTTATGGGATTTTCAACCATTAAAGGGTCGGTAGTTTGCTAGACTTTACGTTTTTTGTTCGTACGACTTCGTTTGAAGCCGAAATTGAATTTCGTTTTTTCTCATGCGTAGCTGACAAATTTCTCTATCAACCACAAGTCATCGGCTCAAAATATTATTCGAATGATTCCCCGTCGGATTTTTGGACCTACACCATCAACGCACAAAATAGAGGAAATAGAGAAAAATAATCGAAATAATCTATATACGACACGAACAAAAGAAAAACACTCAATACACTATTAATCGCATGAATAATAAAATAAACGACATGAAATAATACAAAAATAACGACAGAACAATAAGAAAAATCACGACAAAAACAGTACAAACAGCTGTCGGAGCTTGTAGCTGGGAGACGGCGGCGTGGCTGCGAGTGGAGGAGCTGCTGACATACGGACATGTTCGCTGCAGGAAGCGACGAGGGCGTTGAGCTGGTGAGAGGGCGACGAACCGTGGCTAGGTGAGCCTCACCGGCGTGGATGAGGGCTTGACGGGGAGCTTGGTTACCAGCTACATGAACCGCGACTGGATATGGTGTTGCCGGTGGAAGGAGACGCAAACTGAGGCTCGCCGAAAATGTGTGAAGGAA